CGCCTCTTTTCAAAAGTCGGTACAAACGTGGATGCCATCTCAGAAGTACTCTCCCCACAGACGGCGCCAAAATGTTTCGGGGTTTTCTGATGTCCTGCGGGAGAGTTACAACACCGAGACTGGAACCGGACGCCTGTACCTGCAAAACAACGAAGACTCCTTGTGGTAGGAGCTCCGCCTCCAACGATCAAGTTAGTACCTGATTAAGGAGTAATAAACGCGGAAATAAAGGTGACTAGGTCTCTCTAGGTGAGAGTGTTTAATGTGAGTAATCTCTGTTATTCGAGTTAACTTCTGTCTGTCCCCTCTTAATGAGGATTAAGAGAGGTATTTATAACCTCGGGAAGCGTGCCAGTCTTAGGTTTAGGGTAAACCTAGGGCTGACTGGGCCTCATAACAGGATTGGGCCTTGGTGGCCGATTTTCCCATTTGGCATGGGTGGACACGTGGTGTGTCTCAATTGGTCCGTAGAGGACATATCTGTGACTGACACGTGGCAGGCTCCTATTGGCCCACATGGAGGACACATGGCGGAACCTGGTTGGTCCACTTGTCAGACGGCGATTGGTGGATAAAAATCCCCTAATCAGAAGGTAGGAGAGATAAAAGCATGAGAAGGGGAATAAAATGAGGAGTGAGAAAAGGAAAACAAAAAAGATAATATATATATATATATATATATATATATATATATATATATATATATATATATATATATATATATATATATATATATATACGGGAGGGTTCCGCTAAAAACAGGGCTTATGGTGAAAACTAAAAACAGCAAATCTCAGCCATTGATTATTAATGATATAATCTAACGGTTGAAATACAAGGTACACAAAATCTTAGCAAATCTCAGCAAATCCTCTGTTAATTTTGCTGAAAAACGCAAAATCTCAGCAAATCTCAGCAAATCCTCTTTTCATCTCATTATCAAATCGTCAATTCCTCAATTCGTCAAATTTTAGGGCTACTTTGATTATTTACTCCCAAAATTGAGGGCTCGTGATTCTTCAATAATTTGGGGCTTCCTCAATAATCTTAGTAAGTGTTCTTCATTCTTTAATTTCTGTTTTTAGCTGAATTTCTAGTTGATTGCGGCTTACAATATCGATATAACTGTGATTATTTCCTTGTATATAAGCTGAATTTCTTGAATTTCTATTTGATTGCGCATGGTAGGTTATTTCCTTGTATGTGATTATTGTAGACTGTTTTTATAATAGTGCTCTGTTTTTTAGTTTCAATCTCATCAACTTGTAGTTTCAATCCTCATCAACAATATGCTCTTTTTTCGTTTTTGTATAAATACTTGCAATATATATATATTTTTTTTATATTAAAGTTTTTTTTCCTTGGATATATGATATTAAACACTAGGAGAAATTGTTGCACATAAGGTGTTTGTGTATTTGCTTAAATGACTAACACCTTGCTTAATACCATATAGTAACTCTTTTTTATGATACCATAACCATATATTTTAGACTGTTTTTGTTGGAGTCCAGTTAGTTGCACCATGGAATGGATTATTTTATTATAGTACCCATTTTAAACCATATATTTGATATTATATGCAGACAATGCAAGAGGAGTCAGAAGAAGGTAGTTGCTCAAATACATCTACAACTACCAATGTTGCTGAAAACTTACCGTCACTAAAGGGCCCAAGTGTGTGTTACACTCCCAGAGGAACAAAAGAGTTTATACCGTGTTGTCCCCCAGAACTAAAGCCTACACTTGGTATGCTTTTTGATTCCTTACTTAAAGGTGTTGATTTTTATAAGCAATATGCTAGATTTGGTGGGTTTGTGGTAAGACTAGGTACTGAAAAGAGAATTAAAGATAGTGATAAAGTCTACTTGAAATATTTACATTGTAATAAACAAGGGTTTACGAAGGATGGTGAAACTAAAGCAAAAGTTTCTAACAAAGATAAAAATCCTAAAGCTAGAAAAAGAACCATAAATCGTGTTGGATGTAATGCAATGATTGGGTTTAAAGAACGTTCAGATGGAAAATTGATGGTTTATGTCTTTCATGAATCTCATAGCCACAATCTTGCTTCTCCCAACACAATGAATTTTTTGGCAAATGTTGGAAACCTTAAACTTGGCCAGAAAAAATTCATTTTTGACAACTCTAGATTGAACATTGGTCCAAACAAGTCTTATAAGTTGATGAAAGAACATCTTGGTAGCTATGATAATATAGGTGCAACATTGAATGATTTCAAGAACTTTAATCGAGACTTGAAAGCTTACATACAAGAGAAAGATGCTTCAATGTTTATAAACAATTTGAAAGAAAAAGCTGAAAACAGTGAAGGTGCCTTTTTCTTTGAGCATTGTATGGATGAACATCAATGCTTGACAAGAGTATTTTGGGCAGATGCAATTAGTAGAAAAAATTATTCGTTGTTCTGTGATATGATTACATTTGATACAACATTTGACACCAACAAATACTCTATGGTTTTTGCCCCATTTACGGGTGTTGATCACCATGGTAAGTGTGTGACTTTTGGGATAGGCTTACTTGCAAAGGAGGATATTGAATCCTTTGAATGGTTATTTGAAACTTTCTTAAAGGCAATGAATAACTGTCAGCCTACCTGTATCATGACAGATCAAGACCCTGCGATGAAAGTGGCAATTGAAAAAGTTCTTGATAAGGCAAAACATAGGTTTTGTATGTGGCACATTATGAAAAAAGTGCCACAAAAGGTAGGGCCCAAATTATGCTTAGAAACTGATTTTCTTTATAAACTAAACTCTGTTGTGTGGAATAGAGACCTTGAACCAGAAGAATTTGAAATTGGTTGGCAGTCTGTGATGTCTGAATTTGATTTAGTGAATGAAGATTGGTTCAAAAATATGTATAATATAAGGAATATGTGGATTCCTTCCTACTTTCGTGACCTTTTTATGGGTGGGATTTTAAGGTCAACTCAAAGATCAGAGAGTGAAAATAGCTTTTTCACTAATTTCACCAATCAGCATTTGTTATTGGTTGAGTTGTGGTTTCGCTATGAATCTGCAATCGATGCTCAAAGGCACACACAAGACAAGTTGAATGCTACTTCAAAAACTACACATCCCCAACTTGTCACCCCCCTGTACTTGGAAAAGCATGCTGCATTTGCTTACACTCATAATGTATTTTACATATTCCAAAAGGAATTCAAGCATGCTTTGTACAATTGTGGTATAAGTAATGTTACCATCAAAGAAGAAGAAGGGATTGAGCAATATAGAATTGTTGACAACACAAGGAAAAAAAGCTATCATGTCACATATGTTTTGTGTTCTAATGATGCTTCATGCTCTTGTAAAATGTTTGAATCTGTTGGAATATTATGTCGTCACATTCTCTTTGTCATGAAAGGAAAGTTCTTATTTGAGATTCCAAGGCAATATGTTTTACATCGTTGGACTAAAGAAGCTATGAAGAAACCAATTTTTGGCTTAAACAACTTGCTTGATGGGGCAGAGAAGGATAAGAAGCAAAAGCTAGTTGGTGATTTATGGTGCAGGTTTTTTTCATGTGTAAGTCTTTGTGAGGAGAAAGTTGAATGCCTAGAGTCATTGTTGTCTAAGCTAATATCTTTTGAAAATGAGATGAAAGACTTGGATTCTATAAGTCCAGTTGATAAACGTGAAGCAAAAAATAAACACATCGAATTATTTGTTGGATCTAATGACATAGTTGTTGATATTCTTCCTCCAAACAAGTCTTCCAACAAAGGTAGTGGTAGTGGGAAAAGGAAAAAATCTGACAAAGAGATAGCTATTGAGGAAAGCCAAAGGAAAGATAGACTTTGTAGAACTTGTGGTCAGAGAACAAACCATGATAGTCGGAATTGTCCGCAAAAAAAATCCAACTTGAATGAGGTATTTTTGTAGAAAAAAATAAATAAATTTTGTACTATGTTTACTTCCCACTAGATTTTCACTTTATATATGTTCGTGTACATGATTTCAGGATTTCAAAGAAGAGTAGAAAGGCTGCAAAACCACTTCATATTTACAAGAAGCAACATCGGCTACTGACAGCCTAGTGCTGAAATAGAGGAGATGAGAGGAAAGAAAGAACATAGTGCTATAGTGCCCTTTTTATTGATATAGTGATTGTTATTGTTTCACATATATTAAACAGGGACCTTTTATTGTTAAAATTTTATTGATAGGGTGACCTTTTATTGTTAAACTTTTTATTGACCTTTATATTGTTATTTTGATGTAGTGACATATTGGCATATGATAACTTCAATTTATATTATAGTATGTGTTTTTAACGTCATATTGACTTTTTTTCATCGTATTGACACCTTATTCCGTGATAACCTTTTTAGTGATATAATGACCTTTATTATGATATAACAACCGTATAAAAAATACTCACATTTTAACAATTCTTCTAATCCACATCGATTAAGCCAATACAAAGTTAGGGAAGGAGGGGCTCGTTCTTTTAATTGATATACTAAATGAATAGCTTAAGAATAGATTAATATAAATACGACACTTTTACCTTACATAGTGACCTTTTATTTAAATAGAGACAGATTATTATAGAAATCTTTTTTATCACATAGTAACGCTCTTGCATCTCATAGTGATCCTTTTGCATCGCATAGTAATTGGAAATTTTTACCTCATATAATGCCATTTTACTTACATAATGACTATAAAAAGTAATATAATATCCTTTTTCAAGTTTTTTTTTTCTTTTTTAAGAGATAAAAAAAAGTTAGACATTTTTAGGTACATATTTATCATAGGTCCTTTGAAAACTTGTCACATATGTATACAAAATAGAATAATGAATATGGTGATAATTTTGCATTATAACTTAATTATATATAACACATTGAACTATTAACATTTTAAATACATAGTGACCTTATAATATAGAAACCTTTTAAATAACATAGATACCTTTTTAAATACATAGTGACCTTATTATATAGAAACCTTTTTAAATAACATAGGTACCATTTTTTTATAACATAGGCGCCAAATTTATAACTAATATATATTTCACTAAACTTCTTGAATGTCAATTAAAGATTACATATCAAAAGAACTACCAATACCACCAATTCAAAAGCTTTGTATGAACTGGAATCATATCATATTGTTCTATATTAACACTTATACAATTTTGTTAGATTATCCATTTGTTGATGCAAACTACATCATTACATTAGATTTCCTACTTCTGTGCAAAATACAAATACTTCCGAGCAAAAAACTTCATCCACATATTCGTTAGTCTGCCTATACTTTCTTTTCCTTTTTACCTTGCTTTGTTTTCTTCTTAATCCCATCAAAAACATCTTTTGCAACTTGACTCCTTATTAATCTGAATTCAGATAGCTTTTCAAGAACTTCATCTCTGACAATGTTCATATCAGATAATACCAGAGTAGCAGCAATCTGAGCTCTCAATGTCCGTCTAGTTGAAACCTAATATATTAATTTAAGCAAAAATTAGAATAAAAAAGCTAGTTAAATTCCATGGAGGAAATAGTTAATATAATAAAAATTGAAAGCCAAATAAAAAAAATGAGACGAGATAACCGTTTTCAAAACATCGCAGTCGAACACATCAGCTCCATCAAAGTAAAGCATGCTGACCATAGTATAAATGCCACTATCATTATTCTTCTGTTTTCCAGACTTCCAATTTACAGAAGGTGACTCCAAAGTATACTCAATCATGTTCTTCACTGAGTCATTACTTTGAGGAAGGCGTTGATCAAGAAAAGTACTCAGCATATCACTCTAGGCAAAATAAATTAATACTTTAGGTTCCATGAAGCATATCCTAACTAGAAAAATACAAATAAAATCCAAAATATCATATTTTTACCAGAACATCAGAGAACTTCTCAACCTCACTCATGTACTTTGTATCATAACTCATATTATCAATGAACTGAAGCTTTTCTTCCTTCAAATTCACAACAATTAGGAAAAAGTGCTCATTCAAGAGTAAAGGAACAAATATCTGCAATAAATAAATAAACAACTATTAAGCTTGAAAAACTTAATATAAAAGTACTTAGTTGAAAAATGATTGTAAACATTTGCAATGTATTACCAACTCAACATTTGCAATATCAAAATCATTGCAAGGAATGAACAACCATCTTGACCAAATGTCAAATAGCTTGTCAATGTCTTGTGTGTTACTATCTGTGTTTGCAACTTCCAGTAAAAAAGCCTAAAAAAGAACAAACATTAATAAATATTAAAAAAATTAGAAGGTAGAGTTATTTTTCTTAAATGTAATTACTTGCATTACATAGTGACTGTTTTCATTGCATAGTGAAATTAATTTATGAATCATAGTGACTGTTTTCAATACATAGTGAAATTAATTTATGAATTTTTTATAATGAACAACTACCATTATAATGATGTAGTAACTAAATAGCCGAAAGATACTTACACTTTGAGAAACACCAAAATATAGTTTTTGAGGTCCATGTGCACTACTCTTCTGGTTTTCATTAAGCAACATAGCCCAACAATCAATAATAACAGAAGATATAGCAATAGCCGGTGCACCTAATGAAAGGAATTCATTCCTTGTAATCTCAAATGGTTTGCCAAAAGATACCAACACCTCACTGTACAAGGAAATAAAAAGACACATGTATATTAACATAGTCACTTATTATTAAAATTTGAAAATAAATAACAAAAAGAACAATGACATGACTTACTTGAGATCGAAACCATGATAATCACTAATGCAGTAGTCAACAAGTTCCTGGACAACTGCATCCAAAACCTTCATATCCTTATTACTTGACTTCATATATTCAGTTACATATGTAACTTTATCACCAAAGAGACTAACATCCATAGCAAGGGAGCATTTAGATTTTCCATTACTCAAAACATGCTCAAAACCTATCCTTGGAACCTCACCAACTACAACATTAATCTCTTTTGCAGGTGCACCATTATCATCAATATCATCATCATCCAAACCATTAGGCACTTTGCTTACCCAATTTACAAGAGACACAATCTCATCAACAATTTCATGAACACGAGGATTCATAAAGAATAAATCAGTTTGGGACATTGGAGGTGTCGAAGTTGAAGCATCATTAGATTTACGAGTCTGAAATAACACTTTCAACTCATTCATGTAGAAGTTAGATACCACTTCTAAATCTCTTTTCATGAGCAAAAACTTCTCATAAACTTCCTGTGAAAAAAAAATGTAGCACTTAGATTTAATAAAATAATTTGTGACAAAAAAAAAAAAAAAAAAAAAAAAAGAAAAAACCAAACAAACAGACAGAATTAAAGGGTAAAATACTTACATCAATAGCAATTGAACGGATTTCCTCATTAGACATTGAACTGGCAGGTAGCTCAAACTGAATAACACCCTTAACATTGCTACGGACACCTTCATAAACAACAGATTCTTTTCCAGAAGTTTGATTCACAGGAGCTTCCTTGAATTGATTACAAACAACTTGTCCATCCTCAAATTGCAACTTCTCACTCACTGGATATGTATCAAACTCAAGAATTCCACACCCAAAACCCTTGGACAACTTTTCATTTCTAATTCTATCTCTTATATCCACATCAGTCCAATGTTGAATTAAAGGTATTGTAGAATTTAACACAACATTCCTAAACCTCAATCGATGAAAATAGATAATCTCTAACATCAAAACACAACCACAAAACCATTCTATATTTCCTTCTTTGTAGCTCTTCACGGCTTCACAAAGTCTATCTAAGACATATTTTGACCAATTATAAATTCTTATTTGATTAACATCAACCAAACATTTTACAATTCTCAAATCCACAGTTCTGTTGGACGTAGGTGCTAAAAAACTTGAAAAAGCATGCATGATAAAAAGCTGTCTGAATTCTTCCCCGCCATCTACTAGTAAAGGGATCTTAGATTCCAAAAAACCCAAAGGAATCTGATCATTCTCACCCATAAGACCAAAATGAGACCTCCATTTAACCTTTAAATCATAATCAGGGTTGATGGCATTAGCACAACGAGAAATTTCTTCAACTTTCTTAGATGTTTTGCAAGGAAGGCAAAAAACATCTTACACATCAAATTCAGTCACAACAAAATCTTTTTTACCATCAATAGTAAACATGCAGCTACCATGATCAAAACAATCTACCAACCATGATAGCATATCAGTTGCAGTTCGTTTCACCTTCAAAGATAACAAACCTCCAAAGCCAATTTCTTTAACAGCCTTGATTTGATCATCTGAAAAAGTTTTAATCATCTCTACTAAATGAAATGGCCTGCAACGTGTTTTAAATCCTTGTTGCACCCTGTAACAAGACATACGAAAAGATAAACAAAAGAAACCAAAATAGTAGCCTCTTTTTATAGCATAGTGACCTTTTTTTTAAACAAAACTTCAAAAAAAAGAAACAAATATTCACTTACATATGTACATCACTATCTATGATTGCAGATTCTTGCCTATGAATCACAATGTTCTTATCCTTATTTGCCTTCACTTTCTTCACTTTAAGACCTTCATTTTCATCCAACTTTCTCTTCTTAGCTGGCAAAACAATAGCATGTGAAGAAGAAGACTCATTCCCCTTCTTTCCTTCCATCACAGTTGACAAAGGTATAGCATTCTCAATGTTAGAAGGTTTCTTTTTCTTAGTGATAGCTTTCTTTTTCAATCCTTTTTCAATACAAGCATCTTTATCTCTGTTAGTATCATCATCAATCATTTTGCTTCCACCATCAATATGCTCTTCATCTTCATGATCGAGATTGATACATGCTAAAAACACGCAAGCATATAGTTATATATACAATTATCTTCATTTTCATCTAGCAAACAATTATAATATAGCAAACTAATAACTTCAAAATAATAATCATTGTCATTGATATAGTGACCTTTTTCAGTTACATAGGGAACTAATAATATAGTAACTTTTATATTAATATAGGGACCTACATTCTATAGTATTAGGAGACTATCATAATAGAGCAACTAGTATATTAAGGTTAATAATCCAAAAATCAAACATTCATCATACCTCCTGTATCTTTCAATTTAACTCCTACTGTTGAGCTACGAAGGCCTCTCCTTTTTTTAAAAGTAGCACCACCTCTAGTTCTCACCATAGGAATAAAATCTAATCCAAATCGAATGAAAATCCTTGTTGCACCCTGTAACAAGACATACGAAAAGATAAACAAAAGAAACCAAAGTAGTTGCCTCTTTTTATGGCATAGTGACCTTTTTTTAAAACAAAACTTCAAAAATAACATAGTCCGACACCCCTCCAAAAAGATTCAGTTTATTTTGGTTTGGTTTAGAACAAGTTCAGGTCATATTCATATTTATGTCTTTTGACAACCAATTTGTTTACGAATAAAAAAATCAATTCAGGTCAGGTCAGGGCAGTGAAAATCAGATCAAACTAAGGTATCCAAATCCTCGAATTCTGGTTGCCTTGATTCAAGTTCAAAACAGGCCTAATTCAGAAATTTTGAAGCAAAATCCAGTACAGAGTCAAATTAACCATGCACATATGTCAGACTAGAAGTACACTTTTCAACAGTCAAGAAAGTCATGTAGATGTCGATTTAGCATGATCAGAAGCAATCTATCACAAATCCACCCCAGATGTCTGTAGCTCCTGGGTTAGTCGCTTAAGCAGTCTGCTCAACACCAAAAATCGGACATATAGAATCAAAGTCAGTATCTTAAACCAGGAAGCATTCTTCATACTTTATGTTCTTTCTTTCTTTCTTTCTTTCTACGGTTGATGTGGAAAGAGTCTTTGCATCAATATCACAAACACCAGAAAATTTATCTAAGTGCAAAAGGCAAATAATTCATGTAGGAACCTAATGACATTTGATGCAGCTGAAACCACTTCAAATCACAAATAAGAAAAGACAGGTTGTAAGAGAGAAACACAACAGCATCAAGGAACACCAATGCAACCAAGGCAGTTAGTCCATCTCCAAACATGTCACCATGTTGGTCAGGTCTCAATTCCAGATCATCATTAGCAAGAGATTGATGACCATTCCTGTTGCCTACACCAAACGGAACACGGGAAAATACAAATCGAGTTGGACACCAAGTGGAAGCAGGAACCAGTGTAGCTAATTTATGTCTCCAAACTCTCACTAATTCACTCACAAATCCACTAAAAACACTTCAAATTACTCAAAATTCGAATTAACTACTCCAAACTCTCACTAATTCACTCACAAATCCACTAAAAACATTTCAAATTTCTCAAAATTCGAATTAACTACTCCAAACTCTCCCGAATTCACTCACAAATCCACTAAAAACACTTCAAATTACTCAAAATTCGAATTAACTACTCCAAACTCTCCCGAATTCACTCACAAATCCACTAAAAACACTTCAAATTACTCAAAATTCGAATTAACTACTCCAAACACAAACACACACACACAATTCGCATTTTAGCTATTCGCATTCCTAACAGGCATTAATTCGAAATCAAAATCCACAAAAATCAGCTAAACTCGAAATCAACAAAAACAAAATTATGCTCAACAAAAATCGTGTTACTAAGAAGATGAAGAACAACAACAAAAGCAGAATTTCGAGCAAAAATACACATAAAAACCTAGTTTACTTAAATTAAGAAAAATTAAACAAAATACATTTAAAAAATACTTCTACTAAAACGAAACTTAAGTTGAAATTCAAAAAATCAAATCAAATCGAAAAAATAAAATAAAAAAACTTGCAAAATTACAAAATTAAACAAAAATCATACACGAAAAACATAATAGACATTAAATTTTCGGTTGAATCTACAAAAAAGTACTCATGAAATTCCAGCAAACAAAATTTCAGAAACCTAATAACCTCAAATCGTGCAAAAATAGCGAAATTACCACAAAGAACTCACCTGATAATAGATCGTAGAGCTGAGAAATTGCTAAAAATCAAAGTAATTGAAGCGGTGTTGCTGAAGGAGTTCGCTGATGGTAATTGAAGCGGTGTTGCTGAAGGAGTTCGTTAATGTCGAGAAATTAGGAGAGAGAAAGTGAAGAGAGAAGGAAGAGGAGGAAGAAAATAACAGAGGAAAGAGAAAGTGTTTTCGCGGGAGGAGAGAGAAAATTAGGATATATATACATTAAATATCATCCGCTAGATTATAATCTACGGCTGGGATTAATTGTTTTCATGTTTTCACCCTAAGACTTGTTTTTACATGATCCTAATCCTATATATATATATATATATATATATATATATATATATATATATATATATATATATATATATATATATATATATATATATATATAACGGAAAACGGGATTAGAAATGGGGGTCCGTTATTTTTTTGGGCCATAAAGAAGGTTGGGCCCATAATCTAAGCTGGCCGCATGGTACAACAGGCCGCATACAAACAATTGTGAAAAATAAAATAATAAAGTGGCATAGAAATTAATGCATAAAGTTATGAGAGGAGAAAAACTAAAATGTTAATATCTGAGATTAACCTAGGCCCGCTCAAACTTGATATGATCTGAAACTGACCTTGAAAAAACCAAATTCAGAATTTAACTTGTTTGAACACAATGACTCAAATCTAAAATAAATTCAACCCAACTTGACTTTATCGGAACTCGACCAGAACATCCGAAAGTAATCGCATACATTGAATTATAAGCTGTAGCTTCGAGCCCATTGACGCCCAAAGCTCAATGGACCGTAAAAGTGTAAATACAAGAAAAGTCATTCCTAGTGGACCAGTGCGTGATAAGGCCCATATAGACACCTTTTTTTTCTTGACACCTGAAGGCCCTAAAATCTATCTTATTCATTTGTTCACAAGCAAAGACGAAATCACATATTAGAGGATGTTTGATGACTTTGATCACTTAATTTTTACAGTAGCTATTTTTACATATAGTATGGTTTAATATTGATGTGATTCTTCGAAAACGCTTTCTTTCAGTGACGTCTATAAATCTTTTATATTAACTGATATATTAAAATTGAAGGAATATGAATAGTGGTTTTTTCATTAAAACTCAGGGTGAGATATAAGTAAAGATGTTTGAGTATGAGGACATTTAGAGAAAAAACATTGGAGCATTTGTTCAGGTTAAGGTATCACTTTGTCGATTAAGTATAATCTTAATTCCATAATAAAAATAAAGTTTGAGGTGATTACAATTTTTTCAACATATTTTGTGGGTGTGTGTGTGTGATGAAGTCCTTATAATCCTAAATCTAAGACTTGAATTTATTTTATTCAAGATAAATCATATTGCAAATAAAGCTCTGCTGGGTAACTTTTCTAGTAACAAAAGTTATTAATTGAACCTAAGATATTTGATAATAAAGTTAGAACAAATCTCTTTTGGTCGATTTAATCTATCACATATGTATCAACAAATGTTTAGAACAGTTTGTAAGGGAGTTGTTTTAACTTAAATAAATGTATTGAGAATACATCATTTATTGTGAAAGTGAGAGCTTTTCATCTCATTTTCAAGAGACTGTTACCAATTGACTGCCCTAGGTCTAACTCGACTCAAGTTCTAATTACAGTACTCAATCTAGTAGGCTATGGATTAGCGAACAAAGGTAACAGCCACAAGTTCGCTTTCTTGTGTGAGGTAAAAAGAGAAGGGAAGATATATTAACAGAGAATAGTGGATTACCTGCTATCCACATTTTTATCCATGGAAAATCAAACCTCATTATAACACTAACACACTATCCACTCTAACCACTCCCTCCTCAATCTCTTCCTTAAACCTCCCAAATTTCCCCAATTTTTCTGCAAAATTTCAAACACCCACAAAAATTAAACAAATACCCAGTAAATAAACCATGATTTCAACCTCAATTTCTGATAAAATTTTCCATATCGTCCCAATATTGGTGAATTCTCCCTCACTTTCTCCCTCTACTGGCAAATCTTCTTCCATGTTTTTATCTCAATCTTCCTTTTCTTCTTCTGTATTGGTAGCTTCTTTTTCTCCATCCAAATTCAAGTTATTGTCTTGTTCAGCAAATGATCCCAGAAATTTGAGCTCTTGTGATGGTTTAATCAAGCTACAACGCCATGTAAGTGCTCTTGTTCTTTGCTATTTTCTTGAAATATGTCCTTTATTAAGCAGTTTTGGTTATAATGATGTATATATTTGGATAAATTATTGCTGTGAGAGTGTTTGCTGTACTTTGCTTGAATTGCTTTATAATATGGCTGATAACTTTGTTTGATGGGACCTTATCCAGAGCCTACTAGACTCCGAGTAATCTGAATTCGAGCTCTGTGAGGTCCTAACCGGGGGGAGTTCTTGCTAAGTGCTTGTTTGAAAGTTTATAGGGGGAGAATGGATCAAGAAGAGGGGACAATACTCTTCCCTAACATTCTTGTTCATTAATTAAACTGAAACTTAATTCATTTAGTAGTTCATGTAACCAGAAATGTTTGTTTCTTGTTTACGAGGCAAGATATTGAAGATATGCTCTCTAAACTTCTATGAGGGCATGTCAGTATAGCTTTGTTGCAGCTCTTGCAAGAGCCAAGAGATATCCGTGCTTTATTCAGCATGTGATGGTTCACATAATTTTAGGTATGCACTAATCAGGAAGATAAGATGCCCTCACGGACATGTTGCTCGTAATCAATGAATGTATGAACTAGCTAGGAATTTAATGAACAGTATGTTGAATAATCACTAGTCGACTTTTGGCTTTATTAAGATAATAACCCACATCTGACATGGGACAAGTTGTTTCACATTGAAGAAGAAATGGGAATTTGACGAACTTATAAGTCTAGTGGGCTACTCCACCTATCACCAATGGTTTTGGGATTGTACCCTACTGGTCTTGTATGTGGTCAAACTCTCCTCCAATGTGGGCTTTTGTACAGAACATTATCATGCTTGGACTTCTTCAATCTTTACCTTGTAAGGTTATTGCTTGGAAGCTCTAGCTATATGCCTTTATGGGTTTTGTATGAAACATTATCATGCTTGAACTTCTTCAGTCTTTCCCTTGTAAGGTTACTGTATGGAAGCTTTAAAGCAATATGCCTTTAATTATTGAGCAAAATAAAGGTTGATTTGTGTCTTTTATATGCTTGGATTCTGGTTGAAAACTTGATTTTTGTAATGTGATGAGTCTGATGACCAAATTATGAAGCGGATAAAAAGGATATTAATTGTTCTAAGATGGTGCACTTGCCCAAACACTAGTATTGTATAAACATAAGTATCTGTAATTGTTTGAAAGGACTTACCTTATTGAGGAATTTGGGGAAAAACAAAAGCAAGCCAAATTTCCCCGAGAACATGCAGAATAAAGGAAAGCAAGTTCAGCATCGGTTAAGGAAGAGTGTAATCATGTGAAATGAATGTTGCTTGTTAATGAGGAATTTTGGTAACTATATATGTTCCATGAGTGAGCAGCATCTTTCAATAATGCTCATGCCACATACTTCATTTAGTATTTAATTCTGTACTAACTACCCAAGAACTTGTTTTATTCTTACTGATGTAGGTTCCATATTGGTGACTTCGAAAAGCTTATACCAATATAGCTTAAATTTAACTGGAGTAACTTATTCCTATAATCAGCTGTGTCAACAAAATGATATCTCCGTGCTCTACTTGCAGTGAAGCTGTCCTAGATGTACATTTTAATGGATGTGTAATTTTTTAGATGTACCTTCTTTCTTTCTGTTTGTAGGAGGATATGCATGTATGAGATTTGTTTGCATGTAAGAGGAACTCAAAGTTTCAGTGTTTCACTTAGTGCAGCCTAGTACTGTGCAATTTTCTATAGCATGTTTAGTGCTAAGTTATTAGTTAGTAATGTGATATGTTGATAATCATAATGGTGCGTCACATGTTTACGTATTCCGTACTCCTATTTAAGCAATTATAGGACTAAAGATAGGTTAAAGCCATTTAACAACACAGTATTGGCTCAAGTGTCTACATGTCTTAAAGTTGTGATATGTGGCTCCTATTATGATTTATGTCATTTGATTAAGTTCCAAAAATCAGTGAATGATATGATAACTCTTACCGTCTGACGTTTGTGATTCCTTAGCTAGTGAGAATTTTCTTTATGCTTTACTGGTCTGCACACAGTCTTTAATTTTTCTCCTTTGTCGTGTATGAAGGCAGAAATTTGGAATGGCATTGACATTGCGACCAATCTTATCAATAGATCAGCATGGTAAATCCTCTCATCTTAATTTCAACTTTGTAGTATGATATTGTAGACATCAATATTTTCAAATATCTTAAATTTCCGAATATTTGTTTCTTACGATAGTCCGGAGCACAATTCTATGTATTCTATCAGCTAGAGAATGGCATCTACTCACCTTCTTTAGAATACATCATTACTACATCACTTTGATTTATGAGAAAAGTATTTGTTCTTTTACTTTGATGAAAATGTTTAACAAAGGAACTAATAAACCACTTTATTGGAATTTAACTTATTTTATGTTGTATACTTGTATTAATATTTTATCTCTTCCTCGTTTCAAAAAAAAGGTTTTTAATTATCTTGTTGGTTAAAAGTGAAAATACTAATCAAGGCAAAGGGAAATATAAATTCACTATCATTCTGTAGTGTATATATATACTAGCTAACACTGTCCATGACAGTCATTTAAATATGATTTCGTTGCTTTTTTTAAAAAAGGTACAACCCCCTTCTATATTAGAACCCGTGGAGCCATCATTTATGGGTTACTGAGTAGATATTAATGCACCTTCAGTTAGGTATAGTGTATTTTTGCTTTGGCTACTCTTGCTTACATATTTGATGCTAAGGGTCTTGATTTCAACTGTTGCAGATCTCTCTAAGAAACTTTGCACCGTGAAAGATGGCAAAAATATGAAGGGCTTGTTAAGAGGTGCTAGTATCCTTTCATCTGCTACAATTGCCTGGCTGACTTCTTCGGAAGTGGCATACTCCAGCACTGACATCAAAATAAATCCAGTTTATGAAGTTGGAGAGTTGTTTGAATTGGGAATTCAGTTGTCATATGTGCTTTTGCTGCTGGCTTTGCTTGGAGTTGGGACTTTTTTTGTTATCCGTCAGGTCCTTGTTCGCCGTGAACTTGATCTTTCTGCTAAAGAATTGCAGGTCAGCTTTTTTATTTTGATGCATGTGTATCTAACATCTATAGTATAAGATTTAAGATTCTATAGTATAACATCTATAGTAGAAATAGAAAAGGGATTACTAATCCAAGGATCTTTGTATGAAGGGATCTTAACCTTGCTCTATTTTCATTTCTATGTGAGACAAAGTTAGGTGTCCTTTGCACAACCCTCTTTTTCCTTTGAGGATAACACTCTCTAGATAGTAGTAGTTTCTTCAAAAATAACCCTTTTCATTCCAAATTATCTTTCTGATTCTAAAAATATCCTTCATAAACACTGTATATGACCTGTGGTCTTTGTGAGATGTGCATGAAAAATCAACTTCGTGCAATTATAGGAGCAAGTAAGGAGTGGTGACGCAAATGCAACTGAACTCTTTGAACTTGGAGCAGTGATGCTGAGACGGAAGTTTTACCCAGCTGCGACTAAATTCTTGCTTCAAGCAATTGAGAAATGGGATGGAGATGACCAGGATCTTGCCCAGGTTTGAATAGCAATGATAATTTTTAGGCTTCTTAAATTTTGCGTAGTCTTCATATTTATCTTTCATCGTTTCTTTTCCATATGTCAAGGAAACCATTCAAATTTCAAAGCATGTCATTCAATATTCACGCCTTCTCCTTCACTACATATTGAAAAATTGGCCTGATATGAAAGTCTCTGAATTAAATAGTTCTTGTACTGATTGAAATTAGTAAGAGTTACACTGTAAACCCCAAGACCTCAAATGGAAGGTGTTTGTTTATTATGCTTAATTTGATCATATGCTGGCTTAAAGCCTTAAACAATGAACTGTCGCAGTGTCACTGTCGGCTATATTATGAAAACTTATGTTTTTGGTCCAAAATGAAATGTCAAGTATCCATATTGATGCCAGAGTGTTGAAATTCTGACATGGTTTATGGTGAATGAAGAATCCATTTACCATAGCTAGTCATGATGCTCCATTACACAACTTTCTTAGGAATTCTCTGCACTATACTGTAAATAACAGGTCTTAACTTAAAAATCTGCACCTACAGGTTTATAATGCATTGGGTGTGAGTTATGTGCGTGATGGAAAGATTGACAAGGGTATCGCGCAGTTTGAGAAAGCTGTTAAGCTTCAACCAGGGTATGTCACTGCTTGGAACAACCTTGGTGATGCATATGAACAGAAAAAGGATCTCAAGACTGCTCTTAAGGCATTTGAAGAAGTGTTGCTTTTCGATCCTAATAACAAGGTGGCACGCCCTCGAGTTGAGTCACTGAGGGAGCGTGTTAACATGTACAAAGGTGTCCCTGTAAAATCCAAAGAAAGGTGATAGTGTTATGATGTTAAACTAACTTGAATTTTGACATGGTATGAATTTGAAAACTGGTTCTTGAGTTGTGACAATATATGAACTCAAGTGGTTGCCTTTTGCTTCCTTTGTTTCATATTGTAAGGCGTTTGTAATATTTCTACTTGTACAAGTTCTGATAATATAAGTTGTTTCAGGAAAAGATAAATGCATTCTGTAATGTAAATTTATCAATTTTATCCAGTTTGTACCCTACTAGGAGTATTTCAGTATTTTGATTTTTCGACAAAATCATCTTTAAACCCTTTAATATTGATGCACAGCCTAGCCAACCTCAATTAGCAAACTTTAATGAAGGCATGGAGCCAAGTTAATAGGAGATGAGTATGAACTGTTGTCCATCAGTCTATCCACACAGTGAGCAAGAGTTTTTTGATGAAATTGACTTACGAGTTCAAAAGGTAATTGAAATGTTAAAAGCTCCTTATAAAAAACGACACTCTAAAATGATTAGTCGTTTAAGCTAAGAAAGTCTTGGTGCTTCTAAAAAGGGTAATTATCTATTCAATAAGTGTTTAAAGATCAACATTGACTGAAAGATTGGATAAGTGGAGAAAACCACAAAATTTCGATGTCATCCTTAGAGCAGACCATGTTTGTGTATAGTTGACATAACTTGTGTCGCACGTATTAAAATAGATATGATACAGGGTATTTGCAATATACTTACAAATTCATCAAAATAAAATTAGATGACTCGCCTGAAAATATCAAGTTAAAAGGTCATGGACGAGTCGATTCTAGGTAAAAGTATCTAGCTCATTTATTAAACAATTGGAATTCAAATAAGGCGGTTCTAACCTTTATATAGCACTAAATCTGAAACGAACCAACTCATTTGCTAAGTTTGTATATGCTTATGATACTTAAAATGTACTCATAGGCGGAGTATGTGAAACACACACCATAAATATCACGGAGTACGTTAACGTTAATTTTGGTAGGTTTCCTAACCGGCTAACACAAACACAGTCAAGACTATCGTGAACTCGTGAATTAAGTATGAACCACCAAAACCCAAATCCAGGGTCCAACAAACTGACCCGAACCAACCACATCGTCAACTCACAAGTCTTCACTCTTGTTTTTTCTCTTCCATTGTTTCATTCAATTCATTCACTCTGTTCTTCCTCTCCCACTCTCATTTTCTCTCTCCTAAGTAACAGTTCGTCGTAATTTTGATACAATGAAAGCCAGTAAGATCTCTCATTCTTCAAATTCAATCAAACGTTTTGAACAAATCAAATCAAATTTTTAGATTGTTTGTTAAATCTCAGCAAATTTGTTTAATCTCACTCTAAAATTCGATTTTCCCCCAAATTTGGGTGATTTTTGCAGGAATGGCTCGAAACCTAGGGTTTTTGGCCCTTTTTCTAATTGCGTCGATCTGTGAAGCTGCGATCTTTCGCCCAATTTCGCATTCTCACCGATCTGCGGCTCTTGAGATTTTCAAGCCAATCGATGGATCCTTTAAAAGGTTTTCAAAACCCCTACTTAAACCCTTGCTTTGATTATCTATTTTCTAAGTAAGTTTTGTTTGAATGTGCAACAATGAATTAGAATGGCGATTTTCTACAGGTTGTTATTGCTCAATTTGATCCATTGTGCTGTTAATTTAGTTAAAAGTTTGAAATCTAGATATCTTGAGGATGTTTAGGTTAATCAAATTGGAAAAAGGTAGAACTCGGTGGCCGATTTCGGTGTTGCTTAACCTGCTATTTGGTGTTCTCGGAAGTAGGTGAAGAATTGAGTTTTAGAACTTGAATTGCATACATTAGGTGCGGATTTTGTAGGAGTAGGGGACTACTGTCAGAAGCTTGTTTGATGAATTATAAAGAATTTCAGCTGGCCAAATTGTTATTGCAAACCAAAATCGTAATGCAAATGGCATGTGTAATTGTTGGTTATATCTCCCGAATGATGACTGAGGTCTCAATACCTTCTAAATGCTACAAATGAATTGGATTGTGGAAATGGTTGGTTTGGGGATTTTTTTTAAATCCCTGAAATTTGATGCTCAATCATTTCTAGAAGTAGGAATATTGTACTGCCACTGATTTGAATACGAAGTGGAAGACTAGCAGTTTATGTTTACTGTGTAATCTTGTGCCTGTTTGATGATGACTGTAAATATTCATTTCCGTTTTGCATTAGCGCTCTATTTGGCAGGCAAATGACATACTTACATGCATCATGTAAAGCAGTGTTATTTCTGTCTTAAGCTTGTGTGTCTATTTTCTTCTTATTTGTAGTATGCTCAATTAAATAGTTCTTTGAGGCTGTTCTTTGTTGAACATTTGTTGACTTCAACTTGTCTTTGGATAGTCTTGAAGACGCTTATGAGGCTTTAAGAACTTTTGAGATCCTTGGAATTGGGAAAGATCTTGATACAAGTACTTCAACATGTGCATTGATTACGGAGACCCTTAAGTCTTCATCTGCTAGTTTGAAGGATCTCAGTGTTGCATTGAAATCGAACCGAGTCCTTAAGTGCAAAATTGATGGAGAGAATTTTAAGGTAACCATTCTTCAAAAGGTCCCAAAAATTGTCAAATTGATCTAAGGGGGATTTACTTATTCTTTTTAGGAATAAGAATAAGAATCAGTCAATAGGTCTGAGGTGTTTTTGACCTTTCTTTTTTTCTTCTCTATCTCTCTCTCCCTCCCATCCTTTTAAGGCTGTCAACTCAAAACTGCAAGCGGCAATCACTAAAGCAAACTCATTGCTTGACTTCTACTATTCAGTTGGAAGCTTGGTACTTCTTAAGGTAAAAATTCTCTGCAATTTGCCATTTTCCTTTTTTTAACATCAACATTGATCAATTGACTTTGAAGAGGCTTCCTCCAACGTTAGGGGAGGGGAGAGAAGGGGCAGATATTTGCAACCTTTCCTCAATAATACAAAGTGACTGTTTCCAATTGATTATTGAAAGGAAATGACCATGTGCTATTAGCCTACTCCACAATAAGAATTATGCACACACAATGAACAAGTCATTTATGTTCTATTATTTCAAATCCAAGGAAGCAAATACTCATCTACGTTGGAAATGGATGAATCTAAAGCTTTTTTTGTCAAATTTATGTTGTGTACTTGTGTGGACCAATTTTTTAAAAGTTTGCACCATATGATACGTTGACATTGCTGAATATCAAAGCTAAATTATGTTAGTTTCTATCATTTTCATGATTTACTTTATTGCTTGGCATTCTTGATATTTTTTTGGCAATTATTTCATAAACATATGTGCAGGATCAGGCTGCTGATCTAGAAATTCAGCTTGAAAATGCTGATCAAATCTTCCGCTCAGTCAAGGTTGGTTTTTTTGGATTTTCATTGTTAATCTCTTCTCCCATAGTTGGCTCTAGGTTGTATGCTTTATGGTTTTGCTCCTTTGGCTTTTTAATTCGATTGGATGCCATAGCTTATGTTGATACATTTTTGTTAGGCTCTTGGTCAAAGTGATGGACGGTGGCGCTATAGTTCCAACAAACCTGAGTCCAGTACTCGTGCTGCTGGTAGTATCTCCCCTTATAAATTTGATCTCCATTTTTTGTATTAGTTTTACGTCCATCTGTAGACCCTAGCTGTTTCTAGTATGTGGTGTTGTATAAAATGCATACTTTTGGGGGGTGTGGTGACTGTTTTGTTGCTGTTAATGACTTTTATTTCAAATTGATAAAAATTTTCTATCCTTAGACTACTGACCTTTTGTCTAATGCTAACTGTCTGTTTGCTGCAGGAATAGCTCTTGAAACTCTTGCTGGTGTTGTGTCATTAGCCTCAGCTGACATCGATCAATCACTGGTATTTGCATAATGTGCTATTCCCACCCATCTTCTGAACATGGCAATTCTGATTTATTCATGTGATACAGATGACTGCTGTTTATTAGATTGATTGTCTTCTTGTAGCTATGTTGGTTTTTGGTAATCAATTTAAGTGTTAATATTGAAATGTCTGTGTGACTCTATGTAAATACCCAGGCATCTTTGTTTGGATTTTTGGATGGTTTTAAATTTATATTGCCACTAGTTATCCTTTGATAAGTTGGAAAATTAGTTTTATTACATTGATATCATCTTAGTTTATGCATATTGGTGAAGGATTAATACATCTTTCCCCTTCCCTTCAGATAAGGGAGGTTATACTATTTTAGAGTAAAGTATGTTGTTTCCACTCTTTGAATCTTTTACCACAGTTTAGATCATCTGTGTTCCATCCAACATTCGGTCATTATCTTCTTGTAATGGCTGCAACACACCCTTGACCTGCAAATTGATTTGTAGCTGGCCATATAGTCTTGCGATTGTAATGCCATACTTCATTACTCTTATACTTTTATGTACGTATCACATATGATTCTGCTGTAGCAATAATTTTGGGGCTTTATCTAATATCTTTGTTGAATGGACATTGGACAGATTGGTACTCTGAAGAATGATATAGTGAAACTGTTTGACAGCGTTGAGAAGTACGGTATGTGGAAATCTTCCCTTGTGTACTCCCATCACTGCCTCACTGCTACTTAGTATTATTATGTTGGTGATATGCATCTGTGATATTCAAATGAATTATTTCAAAGGGTTTAACAAAGAAATGTCAAATGAATTTCATAATGGATCGTGTGGTTTTCTGTTAGAATATTTTTGTGAGCTTGCATGATATCCGATAATTGTAGTATGTCAATAATGTGTTTATGTTGTGATATAGCTCTTGATTTTGTAACATGGATAGCATTTTGTCAGAAATCTTGTGTCAAACATTGAATATCTAGAATCTAGTTATAGTACGAGATTGAACAAGTTTATAGACCTGGAAACTCGTTCACGCCTCAATAACAATGAGAGATGTGGCCATATGAGCCCTTTTTTTCACTCCAAAACTGATGATAGTTGGAAACTCATTCACGCCTCAATAACAATGAGAGATGTGGCCATATGAGCCCTTTTCTCACTCCAAAACCGATGATAGTTTGTTCTATTCATTAAATTAAGCACCTAACCCCCAATCGCTAGTCTTTGCTAAATCTTCCTAAGAAGGATGTGTTACATCCCCAATTATTTTTATTAATAAGCATCATAGGTTGTCTTTTATCTTTTTTTGCTCTTTGGTTATCTATTAAAAGTGATACTTGCATATCATGAGTTCATGATTCATAAGTCAAACAAAAAGTCATATTCCCATCCCTCTCCCCCCAAAACCTTTTTCTTTTTAAATAAAAAAGGGACGTGATAAAAATGGCCAACAAAAGAGAACGAAGATAGTTTATAAGTGAAATTTGTGTCGTTTAAATAATGCTCTAGTTATGCTTCAAAATGTTGGAATTACCTTTCAGATTTGCTGAAGTATCAAGCTCACGTCTATGTATTAAGTGATGAGACTAGCTTATTGTTTGCTGTTGCTTTTTCCTTTTATTTTATCTTCTAATTTATTACCTACCTACAGATGACGGTGCCATGTTCTTTGATGAGAAAGTTGTTGATGCTCTTGAATACCAAGGTCCACTTTCAACTACATCATCAGTTGTTCGAGGACTTGTGGCATTTGCTGATGTAACCTCTGGGAAGATTACTGTAAGTAGATATACATGTAAAAAGATTTATTACAGGTGGCCCTGTGCATAGGTGTTTGTGCTTGCAAGAGGGTGAATGATGAATTGTGAAGATATTTTCCTAATTTGAAATGCAATATGCAGGTTTCTGGAGACAAAATTTTGGGTTTGGCAAAATATTTTCTTGGCATTGGAGTGCCTGGAAATTCCCATGATTTCTTTGAACAGATTGATGCATTAGCTTTGTTGGAAAACAACAGGTAATGGTTGAATAGCATGCATATCTTTCATCTCTTCTTGTTTCAATGGGTAACTTATTCTTTTAATTCTTCATTTTAGATTTACTAAATTATCCTGATTCTTCCTTGGTAATATAGGCATTGGAATGGTCAGGTTTCATGTAAATTTCAATTTATAGACCTTTTAGCCAATATGAAACACTAAGAATTGAATTTAACTTTGAGAAATTACAAATAGCTAAAATATTTTGGGAAGTATTCTATATAATAAAAAGTATACGTAATTATATTTTTGTGTATGAAAGGAGATTTCAGGTCTGGACGTCTGGTGGTTCAGATTAGTTAGTTTTGGATCAAATTAACAAATAACTCTAAGTTGTTGGGTTTTGAATTAAATTCAATTTCTACTAATACAAGCAACGAAAATTCTATATTATTTTTGTAATATGTACTTATCTGGTTTCAAATGGCTTGATTTAGTAGGTTTGAAGATTGACCCCATAGCACTGAGTGTATGTCCCTGCATAATAAATATTGCAAATAATTGCCAGTCAATTTTTTTACATTTTATATTATATCAGATTTCAATAACTATAAAAGTGATTTTTCTCTCAATACTGTTAACTTCCCTATTGATTTGCATTTTGCTGTTTTGTTCCCTCGACAATGCATGAATAACAGAGTATGGTGACTTGAGCTTCATGTAAATGTAACAATCTTTTTTTCTGTGTAGGGTGTCAATTCCATTGATCTTGTCACTCCCTTCTACTGTGCTATCCTATTCCAGAAATGACCAGCTCAAGGTATCCACCATTTTTATCTTTCATATTTGAGAAGTTGCTTTTTATGTGCCTAAATTACTTTAGTGTGAGGGCTTGCTTCCCATAGATGTAGTTTTGAGGGCAAAGGAAAATGTAGAGTAGACCATTCTATTGTTAGTGTCCGCATGTGTACTATGTAGGCTATATATCCAGGCTCACTGGTCTCATTGATGTCTAATATGTGAACTGGAGGCAGCTTATATAGGATACCTTTTTTTTTTTTTTTTTTTTTTTTTTGGGGGGGGGGGGGGTAGTGCTGTTAGTGAAAATTCAGTTTTTTTTTTTTTTTCCCCTTTTTCTTCCTCAACCACTTTAGTATGGTCTATGAGCTTGTCATGAGTATCATATGTGGTTAGTGAAATGTGATATTGGCTGATTGAAGCTCTTGTATCTCATAGCATCAGTAAGTATAATTTCCTGTAATAATATGTGCATAGTTTACCTCCTTTTTTTAAGGCTGCAAAGTGTTACAAATTGACAAGTATGGAGTATTTTCTAGAGTTAAGTTTGTTTTAACTGTAATATATGTGAGCAGGTTAAGGTGAACACCGTACTTGGGTCTGAGGCACCTGCCCTGACAGTGAAAATCGTGCAAGCTGCCAGTGTTAATTCAAAAAGTGCTCCCGTGATTGAGAACCAGGTTTTGACAAACTTGGCTTATGTTGCTTGATTTGTTTCTTATATTTACAATTCTGATTTCCTACAAGCTTTTTAATGACTTGGCAACTAATAAAGCCAAATCTGTTGTATCAGGATCTTAAGTATGCCGCAGATGGTGGATTCCATGTTTTGGATTCTTTGCCAAAGGACATTGATGTTGGGAAATATGAATTTGTTTTCAAGGTGATATTCTGCTCCTCACTTAACACTGCTAATGTTGCGATCTCATTCAGAAAAAAGTCAGAAATTGACCTTTTTTTTTTTCCTTTTTTTGGATCATGGATTAGATTGCTCTCAATGATCCAAGTCAGAGTGATATATATGCTACAGGAGGCCGAACTTGGGTTAAAATTTATTTCACAGGAGAAATTAAAGTTGAAAATGCAGAGATATCAGTCCTTGATAATGATCTTGGCAATGTGGAATCTCAGAAAAAGTAAGTATATTTCCAATAAGTTTCTGAACTTTTATTCATCCACCATCTTTGATTCTAAGCATGATATATCAGATAACGACACTATTTTAAATCATATATTCCAAAGTCGCATCTGTGCAAAATGAAATTCCACAATTTGGCTGTTGGAGAACTTATGGTCGCATCTGAGCTAAATTAGAAAATGGAGACATTATAGTTTATTTTGAACACTTGGTGTACCATAGTCGATTAGGCACACTCATTTCTTGTTCTAGAATCTGGGCTTGACATGCTTGTTCAAGAAATGAAAAGAAAACTCTTTATTAGAGAGTTGTCTTGCAATAATCAAGTTTTTTAATGTTAGATTATGGGATTGCAGGTTAGATTTGTCCACAGACAGTGCCATTTCTCTGTCAGCAAATCATCTTCAGAAGCTGCGCCTCTCCTTCCAGCTGTCCTCACCTCTGGGAAATACATTCAAGCCCCATCAGGTTTTTTATTTTATATTTTTAGAGAATGCTTGAAGATCTTTAGATAATTTGCTAATCAAGATGGCGGCGGCAGGCATTGCTGAAGCTGAGACACGAGACAAATGTTGAACATGTATTTGTTGTTGGGAGTTCAGGAAAAACGTTTGAATTTACACTGGTAAGTTTCCTTTACTGCTTTCGGCATATCATGTCACCAATGAATCTTTCTATATCTGCATAGAATTATATGAGTTTCTTTTTTTAATTTTGAAAGTAAAGTTAACTCATTAACAGAAGAGGCATATGATATCTACAAGAGAAATCAAAACTAGCAAATAGAAACTGAATTGGATCAAAAAATATTTCTAATGGGAAAAACCACAATTGTTGGGGATGTTTCACATTGCTATGTAGTACAGCCTTCCATGAGGGGTCTTTCGATCTAATTATAGCATTGTTGCTTGGCTTTGAAACTCCTAAATTCTTTGCTCCATGTACATCACGTATATCGCATGGATGAAATATTGTGTACAGTTTATAGTTTTATCATCTTTCCAAAATCAGGTATCTGCAAGCATCATCTCATGATTTCATTCTGTAGGATTTCCTTGGACTAGTGGACAAGCTCTACTACCTTTCTGGCAAGTATGATCTGCAATTAACCGTTGGAGATGCTGTCATGGTAATTATGATTCTGTACATTTTCAATGTATTAGTACTTGCATTGGTATGGTTTTTCTAAATTGACCTTTTCAGGAGAACTCTTTCTTTCGATACCTGGGTCATATCGACTTAGATCTTCCTGAAGCACCTGAGAAGGCAACTCGGCCACCTCTTCAGCCAATTGACCCTCTTTCGAGGTTTGGACCCAAAGAAGAAATAGCACACATATTCAGAGCCCCAGAAACGCGTCCACCTAAGGAACTGTCTCTTGTTTTCTTGGGCCTTACGCTTGTTCCACTTGTAGGATTTTTTATTGGGGTAAGTTAATATGTTCATGCCATTTTCTTTCCGTTGTGCCCCAACTGGACAAAAGTCAATTATTTCCTTGTTCGTAGAAATAATTGTACGTAGTATAAAATAAGCTCTAAGATGTCAAATTACAGTACAAGATATTAAATTGTTCATGCCATTTTGATTATTAGTATGCATTGAAGTAGAATTTCTTGCTGTTAAAAAGTTGCCCTTTTGTTTGTTCTGACTATCGTAACACACATGCTTTAGCCTTTGTGAACCACTGACCATTCGATTTTATATTGTTTGTAGTTTTGTACTTTTAATTTCTGTTCAATTTACTCAACTGTTAGCCTTTGAGGTGTCACTTTTTCTCTTACTCTGATCTTCAATGCCTTCTTGCAGCTCCTTCGCCTTGGGGTGAACTTTAAGAAGTTCCCTACAGCAACAGTATCTGCTGCATTTGCTGCACTCTTCCATGTTGGTATTGCAGCTGTACTTTGCCTCTATGTCCTTTTCTGGCTGAAGGTTTGTGTATACAACTCTCTTTCTATATGAATTTGTGATTTACTGTAACTCCTTTGTACAAAACTGTATCTTATTATTATTATTTTTTTTTCCAAATTCTTCTCTTGGTCTGGACTTGATTCATTTTCCATCTTTGGAAATCTTTATTTTTTCAATTTTATTTTCTTGTGTTTGCGCATCTGCAAATGCTTCTTCTGTATTCAACCCTTTGTTCAATACCTGCAGTTGAACCTGTTTACAACACTGAAGTACCTGAGCTTCCTGGGAGTCTTCTTGTTATTTGTCGGTCACAGGACTCTTTCCAACCTAGCCAAAGTGAAAGCTGACTAGCACGGTACATTGGAGGAAAATTTCCTTGATTGAAGTATGTTGCTGGGTCACATATTTATTTGAGGAATTCCCCTTTCAGAAAGTTGAGAAGTTGTAGACATTTAGAGTCAATTTTGTAGAATTCGATTTTTCACTTGAGAGTGCCAGCTATAGTGTAGTTCTTTATTTTATTGTATACACATGTATTCAGAACTTTTATCTAAAAGCATTCTCTTCTATGAAGTCTTACGATATTCCCCTCCCCCCAACATTGTTATTGCCCTCCAATCTATGGTTCCAACAGCCCAAAATCAAGACATTTAACCAGTTTTTAAACAATGAAGGCTATAAAACTGAAATTGAATCACATTTTGAGTTTCTGAGTTGCAACATCTTTTCATCTGCATTTATCGGTATGGTTCAGTTCAGGTTGGATCAATGTTGTCTTGTACTTACAGATATAACTGTAACAGAAGGGACATAGGAAAGGACTTTGTACTTATAGTATTGTGACTAATACTTCTAATCAACCATATCCAATTTTGAAGATGTCTATGCAGTAGCTATTGTTATAAAAACTGTATATTGTTGATTAACACTCAAATTTGAAGATTTAAAATTTTCTTTTCCTGAAACCGTAAAGGAAGCTCTAACCACTTGAGTCATCACTCACTCTCAATTGTTAAACTTTGTAATTGGTGATTAGTCTTTTTAGGGGGCGTTTGGTTCAAATAATGGAAACAGTATGGAAAGGAAACAAATAAGAGGGGGAAAAGGAATCATTTAACTATTACCTTTTCATTTGTTTGGTTTAACCATGAGAAGAAATTAGTTAAACTTTACTCCCTTAGGTAATGGTAATTGTTTTTGAGAGATAACAAATGAGAGGTAACCAAGCCTTCTAACCTAACACTCAATAACGATATCGGTTTAATCGAATCCGTTTCCAATCCAAAAAATACACTAACCAAATATGCTCAATGTCTCCCCATAATTACTCAACCTTTTTGCAGTCACAAAAAATTTAAACTTTGATCTTGCCAAGCCAACTGGTGGCTACATCTATCTCCTCCCTGAGGGTTTGTGTATAGGCCTGAGAACAACTCTTTACAACAGATTGTTTAGGAAAGAGGATAACATTAATGCTAATGTATAAATCATTTCTTGCCTTGTAACTACATCAAAACACAAGCTTCCTTGCAGGAAAATTTTGAAACAGAATTTCTTGCCTCTAAACCTACCTAAAGTGCTATGCTAAACTAACAATACAAGATCTTATCATCACTCGGCCTTAAATAGGACAACTGTAACTATTGCAAATGAAATACACTAGTAGAGCATAACCCCACATCACCTTACTGGCCGCCTTCATATAAACATAGAGGTAAAAAGAAAATTGTAACTGTTGAAGCAGCAATACTAATGCATGATGCTTCAGCAAAGATGAGAATTTTAAGGTGTCTTTGCTGCCTCACAGTACTAAAACCAATCAACTCAGTAATATGATCCAGAACTTCCACCTCCCATGTAACCACTACCACTCACACCACGGCCAGAATACAGCGATGAGTAAGAACTGCCACCAACCTGAAAGATCAACAAAATTGAGTAAATGCCTACCCAATTTCAGAAACTGAACTGAATTTCAACAAAGCAGGGGCAGAAACATACATCGGATCCACGAGAAGGATATTCACTTCCATAGCTTGATGAATACATACCACCATCATTGCCACCATATGAACCTATTGTACAAGAAACTATCAAAAAAAAGACTTACAGTGACATAAAACGTTCAAGTTACTAAATATTATTTAATTACAAGGGTGTACCATTATAGCTCATTCCTTGACGACTACTGTAAATGCCATGAGAATCCTGAGCAGAGATTGAACTTCTGCTGCTGCCACTATATCCCGCAGTGGATCTCCCCATTCTAGAAGCATGAGATAATTTTAGTAGCAGAAAGAAAAATACATGGCCAAATATATTTTAGTCCTGAAATTAACACTGACCTGTCACCATATGTATCTGCATACTGAGAGCTTCCTGAAGGGATGTCATAGTCCACACGTGCCCTTGAATGGCGAATACTATGACCAGGATCAGTGTATCGTGAAGGGACATCATCCTTGGAAATCAACATCAGAATTTAGTAAAACCATTATGTTGAATAACAAAATGAGAAGGTACAAATTGAAACAAAGGAGGCTCCGCAACTAACCATAGCACTATAAGGGCGTTTAGAACCAGAAACAGAGTCATAGTCACGTGGACGCCCTTCACGATAACTTGGAGGTGGTCTTTCATATCTTGGGGCATAACTATCCTCTGGATAAGGTCTCCTAGTTGCAGAGCGTGATGCACTGCTCCTATGCACATCAGCATAGACAGGTGAACGGGCAGCATACTCGTCCCTATAAGTTGGACGCCTTTCTGGTGGCAACCTAGACCCATATTCTGCCACAGCCCTGCTCCTTGGAGGGAGCTCTTCCCTCCTGATATAATCTCTCTTCAAGCTACTCTTGGGTGGTGGAGGAGCTGCACACAACAGTGGGTCAGATGACAGTTATACAGTTTACTGCCATCGAAAGTGACCAGCAAAGATCAGAATGAATACCAGGAGCTCTTCTATCATATGGCCTCGGTGGAGGTGGCAATGGCCTGGCTCTAGCAGGCCTCTTCAAGCCACGACCAACAGCAATGGGAGCCCGGCTAGCAAGTCCCCTTACACGAGGAGGAAGGGGACGTGGTAATGGACGGTTCCATGGAGCTCTGGGACGCCGCCCAGCCACACGGCCACCCTTATGATCAGAGCGGGGATGGTTTTTACCTTTACCCCGCTGCAATGGCCTGGACAATCTGGCTCTTACTTTAGCCTGTGGAAGAATAAAATCAGGTGAAGCCATATGAATTATCTCCCATGCCTAGGTAAAAACACATAATTAAGCTTATAAACCAATAATAACCTTGTGATCTCCTTCACCCAATTCTACATTATTAATGCTTTTAGCACATGTTACTGCTGCATCATGAGAGTCAAACGAAACAAAGCCAAAATCCTTTCTTCTCGCAGATGGCATATTACGAGCAAGTTCAACCTTTTCAATTTCCCCAAAACTCTTAAGTAGGATACGGACACGATCCTCATCCCATGAGGCAGGAAGACCATCAATAAACACAGTTTTGACCTAAAACAGTTTCAACCAAATATCATCCACAGTTAAAAGAAATCAATACTCCAAGAATTTGAGCAATGCACAACAAGAGCCTAACAGATGTGAAGCCTGGATTCCTGGAACCTCAAAGATAATCCCACATTAAATATATACCTCAGCCAGCAACCCCAACCATTGCTACATTCTTACAAAGGTGTGGATAAGCATAACAAAAAAGAAAAATTACAAGAAATCAAAGAAACAAATATCATATCCAAAGCTGTAAGTAAAGACCACATGTTATAAAATTTAAGTTTAAAAAAAAGTTTAGATGATTAAATCTACAGATATAAATATGAATAGAACACAATGAAATATAATAAAGAATAATTGATAATTAAAAAAAAAAAAAAAGGCAGGTATAAGCATAGCCAATAATTCAATATATTGGAGAAAAAAAAAAAAAAAGGAATAAAGAGAGATTGTATTCTGCTATAATTGGCCGGGTACTCACAAACTACCCTTCCTAATAGGTGTTTGACAACTTGCAAGATGAATATCACTCCATTATCATCCAAGAAATTAGAAAGATGCTTGAGCTAATTACCTGGGCCATAATTTCATCTCCAGGATCAATGAAAGAATCTGCAAAAGAAACTTTTGCAGGCCTCTCAACTCCAAGTAAAACATCCCTTTTCTGAAGACGTTTAAAAGCATCCATGGCCTCGGAACGGGAGGAGAACTCCAAAAAGGCAAAACCTCTATTTTTTCCTTCATTGTTACTATCTTCCACTAACGTCAGGTCCTCGATATTTTCTATTCCATAAAGTTTCAATTTCTCTTTTAACTGGAAGAACAAATTAATATAGGCCAATCAGAAGAGAATAATGCAACTCTACATAACCAATAACAAAATAAACGCGAAGCCTGATGAAGACAGCAACACCACAGTCTACTTACTTTTTCCTTTGTCCATGTTTTGCATATGTTACCCAAAAAAAGGGTATCGCTGTCCTGACTTGGTGTGACACCACATTGCTTCCCATTCACCTGGAATTTTTGGTGTTAGAATAAACTCAACATAATCTGTGCTTTGCAGTCACTCAATCTATGACAAGATCAAAACAAGTACCACAGGATTTTTAAGCTCCAAGACAGCTCGCTTTGCTTGCTCAACTGTAGCAAAGCGTAAGAATGCAAAGCCCTTGTTCTTTTTGGTCTGAGGGTTCATCATGAGCCTGACTTCAGTAACCTCGCCAACAACACTAAAAACTTCCTTCAAATCCTCCTCAGTAGCATCTTTGTCTAAACCACCAACAAACACTTCAAATTCTTTACGTTTACGCCTCTCTTTGACAAGTTCATGGTGTTCACGTTCTTCTGCAGCATCAAACAGTTCAGCATGCTCATGGCCATGGTCAATCTCATGCTTATGCTCAAGCTCATGGCCATGGCCCTCACCAGCATCAGTATGCTCATCGTCTTCTTCAGCCTCCAGTTCCTCTGGAACTTCTTCCATATCCTCCTCAGCCATGTCTCCCTCCTCTTCCTCTTCCTCCTCTTCAACTAGGTCACCTTCCTCAACTTCCTCCACAACTTCGTCCTCTTCCTCCTGGAAATCTTCCTGGTCAACTTCTTTCTCATCATATCCATCACCATACTCTTCTGGTTCATATTCTGGTTCGTTATCCTCAAGGTCCAACCGTTCATCTTTTTCATATTCATCCTCTTTAACCTCATCTTCTTCTGCCATAGAAAGAGAGGTTGACAGAAATCCAGCCAGTTAACATGGTGAATTCACCATTGGGAGTAATAAGAGTTCTAAAGTGTTGGATGCACAGATAAAATACCCACTAAGCCTCCAAAATCCAACATCAAAAACATAATTGATATGGTTATTCAATAAAGTTAACTCAGGTTAAAAGTAAACGTGTCCAAAAGAGCATTGGAGCATAATTGTCTGTCATATCCGGAAAAAAAATAAAGCCACTTCCATTACTTTATTGTATCCTTGTAATAGATATTTGGGCAATTCTTAATTGTACCAAATGCATTAATCTTCATAGAAAGGAAACAGATTTGTAATCCATTTCTCACTAATGTTAACCTTTGCATACCATTGGCAATTTATAACAGACCTTGGTGTAAGCACACTCTATAAAAGTGTTTAGAGATATGGTGGAGTTTGAAACTTGTGCATATAAACAAACAGGAGATAAAACATAGCAAGATAAATACAATGTTATGAAGAACACTTGTCCCTTCAAAAGCCCTTATCCCCAATATTGAAGTCTTAAATGGGCACTCCACATAAATGACTGTTTTCCAAACATTGAAAAGGGCTTGAACCGTCAAAAACAGCTGAAACAGCAATCACAAGACTTCCGTTGGTCATGCGTATATTAGATTTCCATGGTTTAAAATCTTTCATAACCGGAAATATAGATTGTTCTTCGACCAAGAGATGTCATGCCAGGTTAATGTGAGAGAACACAATGTAAAAAAATCACTCTTTTAACAAGCCTTTCTTATACACTTCATGTGAAAACTCGCTACGAAATTATCCAAATTCCAATATTTAAAGTCCTCCCCATCTCCGTAGAGAATAAGGTGGAATCACATGAATGTCACCTAAGAAATAAGTTCTTTCTTGCTCATAAAACTTCGACAGGGATGGACCAACTTCAAGGATAGAGAAACTTATACCTAATCTTACAACAATTCATTCATTAATGCCCAAAATTTCACCCCCGCGACTAAACCAACCAAGCTAATTAAGCATCTGATGAACAAATTAACCTAAACTGTATACCCAACAAATCAAAAAACATAACATGCAAAAAAAAAAAAAAAAAAAAAACGAATCTTTTCTTCCCTTCAGATAAAATTCATTCAGCAAAGAAACCTCCTTTTATCTTTTTTCATAAAACCTTCAAACATACCAACAATTAATTTCACCTAAGAGCACTAATACATCATTAATATGAAATTAATTCATAAATTAACAAACAACAAATCACCCACAATTCCAATTCCTCTTTCCTATCAAAAATATAACCCAAATCAACTATTCTTCCAATAAAATCAATATTATCCTAACAAAATACAATTAACTAATAATTAAATCAATTGCAGAAATAATAATTTAAAAAAATACTTACTTGTCAAAAGAAAGGATCCATTAGACTCAGATAAAGGCTCAACATTCAGATCCGTTGAGCTATCAATACTATAATTTTGTTCAGAAACTTTAACGTTATCGTCGTTAATTTCAACCCTAAGAACCTCGTTTTTAACATCATCGGACTTCGCCGGAGTTCGGGAAGTTCTTGTCGTCTTCTTCCCCGGAGTAGCCGCCGCTTTCTTCGTTCTTGGGGGCATGTTCTTCAATTTTCGATGATTTTTCTTTCCAGATTTTGGGGAAAATCAGGAAATTGAATGAAAAATTAAGAGAGAGAAAAAAAAGAAGCAAGAAATCGAGATAAATAGAGAGAGAAAAGGAGGGGTTTAAAATTAGGAAAGAAGAACCCTAATTTTGGGTTCGTTTACTTTTATTAGAAATTTTCCACCGCATGACGTGGACATGTACAAGTACTTAGTAAATACTCTTACCAAGTCTTTGCCTTTTTTTTTTTTTTTTCTTTTTAATTTTTGCAATTTTTGTGTTTGTGGAATCCTTTGACTCTATGAAAATACATGATCTCACTAGGTACTTCAGTACTTGTGACTTGTGATCTGTCAGGCAATTTTTATTTTACAACAGGTTGTACCGTGAACCTTTAGGGATTATTAATAAGGTTGATAGAAAAAACGTTAGTTTGTTTAATTAAGAGAGTTTTAAGTTAAGGCTCTGTTTGGTTTAACGTAAAATGGTTTCTAAGAAAAATGATTTTTCATGGAGAAAGTATATTCGGCCGTAATTGCAAATTAGTTTTCTTTTGTTTGTTTCATTACATGAAAATCTTTAGAGAAAGTGAAAATAAGGATCAAAATGTGAGGATAGATAAGAGGAAAGTAAAAAAAAGGATAGGGAGGAAGGAGAAAAAGGTTTTCACCATTGAAAGTACGATGTAATAAGCTAGAGGAAGAGAAAATATGAAAATTTAGACCGGGGATAAAGATTGCTAAGGTGAGCGAATAAAAGAGAATTGAATACGCAGATTTGGAAAAGTGAATGTTTGTGGAATTTTCGTGTATAGTTGTTACTTCCTCCGTTTATGAAAGATTGTTACGTTTAGTGATTTTACATGGTTATTATTGAAAATCAAAGATTTAGATGTCACATATATCAGATCTTAAGGCATTAAGTCAATGTCGAACATAGGAATACTTACGTTATGTTGTGAATGTGTGAGGAAAAATGTAAAAAAAATCATTATAATCTAGGAAATAATTGAAACGTAAAATTCCTATTTCCAACACTACAAGCAAGTGACGTTATATGGAACATAGTGACCCTAATTTTTAACTTAGTAACCTTATAACATTATGTTAAACATAGTGACCCTAATTTTAACATAGTAACCTTTATTAAAAAAAATAAAAATAACCTCTTATAGTCTTTATAATATCACAATGACTTTTTTTCAACATAATAACCTTTATTTTAATATAGTGACCTTTTTTTTTATTAAAAAATAACCATAGTGTCTCTAATATTAGTGGTCTACAATAAATTAGTGTGGATCAGGTTCATTTAAGAGTTTAATTTAGTCGTATTGACATGTACTCACATTTGTGTCTCTTGCAAGTCCTGCCTTAGAGTACCTTCCTTATCTTTCATTAATTATTATTTTTTTTTTTGGTGTTCCATCCGTTTCACCCTTTGGGCTAATCCGAATTCAGGCTCAGTTCTAGGTGGTTAAGTTCTAGTCCCCTCCCAATTGTTGCTGTAGGGGATCGAACCGCGGCCCTCCCTGGCCTACCAAGTATAGCCCCAATCACCAGTACACCTACAGTCAATTGGTATCTTTCATTAATTTTTAGTGTTCGTGATCAACATGCATGCTATTTTGTTCGTAACTTGATTGACTCGGCCTAAACCACCTATTAACAAGTTTAGTCATCATCATTCATAGGGCAGTGGGTTAAAATTTAATCTAGTGTTAATATTCACTTCATTATGCTAAACATATTGACTTAATTGCATTAAAAACACCTAGTAATTATAAAATAAAAAAATAAAATAAAATCGAAATACCATCACTGAATCATTAATTGTTTAATCGATCCTTAATATTCAATTTCAATATATGATACTGAATGACATCGATGTATCTTAATTTGATGCCTATATTAATTAGCTATTATGAATTCTTGAATGTTATAAATAATTTATCAGCGTTCTTGGATAACAAGAATCAAAATGAAAAATGAGCACAATATTCAGACATTAATCACACTTTTTTTCCAAATGTGCCAACCTTCATATAGTTTAACAATTATGTTAAATCGAGAAATATGTTCTATAAGTCTCACCATAATGTTAGATTTATGTTGTTCGATAATACAATATACAAAGCTAGTCAATTCAGTTGTAATAAGCACCTATCGTTTTTGTTCACCCCAGTTCTTGCCCTCGAAAAACTCGTTTAGCATACGATCAAGATCTTCTGCACTGAATCTGATATACTTTTGAGGGTTTTTTCCACTTTCTATCATAGGCCTACAACCACATAATTCCCATATTCATATAATATAACTAAGTTTATACAAGTATATGTTAACATAAGAATCTAGCTTATATAGAATTTAAGGGGTTCGTTATGATCACTAACCCATAGCGTTTGAAAAAATTTCGATAAGCAGGCAATAAGACCTCTGCTATAGCCAATCTCAGAGACTCGCGCAACTCGCTGTCAGGAACTGTCCATTGAGATTGTCTTTGATGAAGCTCCTCGAATTGAATGTTGAAGTTCTTGAATCTCTCCTTTACCATAGACCTTGAAAGTGTCGGTGTGGCATCAGGCGTACTACCACCACCACTAGCGGAACCTGCTGGTTGGACTGAGAGAAATTGAAGGATCTACAAAAACAACAGATATGTAAATTTCTGTTTAAGGCTACTGCACTTCGCTCTTATGTGTCACCCACGTTATTTGTAACAAGTAGTAGTTGATCATAAAAAACACAATAGTATGTTAGTAGAGCAATACTTTAGACCAGGAAATCCTCTTGTATTGATTAGCATGTTGTTGGACAATCCTACGATGTCGTTGAACCCAATCATCTCCTAGTAGGTCTTTTGCTTCAGACCTACAGAAAAAGGAAAGGAGAATGAGTACGAGTGATAAGAAAAAGTTATTAAGATAAAGATGTGTAAGATGTAACAAACCTCCTAACTGATCTAACAATGTAATGAATGTTGTTCATAAGAAATAGCTGAGTCAAAGCAGTATCTTTATACTGCTTGGATTTGCCATCCAGGTTAGTCTGGAGTGCTTGCATTATTCGAGTTGTGATTGCAGCTAACTGCGCTCCTGTATTATCCCCACTGACTTCCTGGAAAAGTTGCTTCAGAGTGGACCGATAACTGTGAGCCAGGATATGATCACAGCATGAATAACCATTCATAAGAGAAATTACAAGATTACATTCGAATTACACTTGGCTTACTCGAACAAAAACTTGACATAGTTAATCACATAGCTAGTCAGTGGATGCACTGTTCCATCCATCACAGTTGTTTTTGTGGCATCCTTCTCGACTGCATCTTCAAAATCGCCAAATGTCTCATGGGCTGTCTGTGCCAGACGTTTTGTCAAGCTTGTTGCGGATTCCCTCATTTCAATACAAGGCTTGCCCTCAAAAATAGTTTCTATCTATACATACAACAACAGAACCAAAAATGTACTTAGTGCCAAATCCTAACAGATAATTCAAATGGCAAAAGCAGAGGAAATCTAGTGAATTTAAAAGAAAAATAACACTACTACTTATAAATAAAATCAAAGAAATCAAGGTTGATTCTTCTTACCTCAGGCTGAAGTTCTCTCATTATCTCATACATGTCCAACAAAACAAATAATTTTTCGGGTGACCTCTTACTTCTAGCAATTGCATCACCAAAACTAAGGAGCGAGGACACACATCCTGAAGTCACTTCAGCAAAGCATAATATTCTGATAGATTCGATAGCTTTAAATATCTCATCACAAACTTTCTTCTCCCCAGAAAACAACAATTTAACCTGCATTGATTCATAATGATTGTAATTAATCCCATCACAGAACATTAGGATTGTGTTAAGACTTGAAATACAAAATCGATTTCTTACAGCTATTCGCATGACATGTATCCAATTCCCAATCTTTGCCTCCAAAGCCTCCCACTGCATCTTTTGTACATCTTCTTTGGTAAGTCTCTCCACCCCGAGTTTTCTGAATGTTATTTCCATTACAGATGAACGTGTTTCCCTAGATATTCATATAGGATTAAAGACATTAATTAGTACTAATGACCACAAATCTTATACCATATACTAAATTATTAGCAGTTAATCTATCAAATTTCCCATGTACTAAACTAATAAAAGCAGTCAATTCGAGTCATTTATATATATCCTCACAAGAGAGATCTAAGTCACTATATCATATATCTTTCTGATTTTTTTTCTGTTTTGCTAGGTAGAAAACATATTACAACTCCTCTAACATCAATATATATCGATATCTCAACTAAATGAAACAACTCAAAAATGGTAATCAAACTCCACAATTCTAGATAATGTAATAACATGATACCTACTACTTATGTTACGAGGGGAGAACAAGTTAATATTGTGTACGAATAGCTTTAATTTAAGTAGCATGCAAATTGCAATGAAGTCATGGAAAAAACAATGTGCATACCGATAAATGCTGAGAATTTGTTGTTGGTAGCCTGCTTGAATCATTTGATTGGCCAACTCACGGAGCAGTGGCAAAACTCGAGGTGGAATAAGATCAAGAGACTTATAACCTGCATTTCCCGTGCTTTTATTACTCTGTTCACCAGAAGCTGATGTTGAGTTGGGCCGTAATGAGCTTGGAAGGCAGTCGAAAAGACAATCTGGTTCTACAGGCTTGCTGAAACAAGGATACATAACCATTGATCACTATTGGAAAATTACAAGTTCTCAAAACCAAAAATTTGCATCAAAGTCGAATATTTTTGAATGATAACAAACCTGTTAGACATTAGAATTTGCTTAAACTCGTCTTCTAGTTTAGAAATGGCCTTAGAAAGTAAGTTGTTAACGCGGTTAAGAGCATCATCATTACTCTTGAAACTTTTGTTGCTACTGAAAAAAATAAGGACTGTTTTCAACTGATCAATTGCTTCAAGGTAACTTTCCAAATCTTCATGAGGTCCTCTTAATATTTTCGCCTCAGCCTGCATTTTCCAGGAAAAATTAAGTGATTATAAAGAGCTACATCTCTATGTATACTTCTAAAATGTAACAAAATTAAACCTCTTTGTTACACGACTTACACCCTTGATTATTGTGCATGGTATTGTACATTTTGTATAATATCACGCATCTCACATATGGCTCTTGATACCATGTCAGAGAACAAATTAACCAAAAGTTTAAGTTTATAGTTAAAGACCTACACTCCTACGATTACTTTAAAGAAGACATCAAAAATGGTGTAGATAGAAAAAATAATACTCGTTTAAGTTATTACCAACGGCATTAAGAGACAAGGGTGCATTTTAACAATGTTGTGATGCCTACTTTGAATAATAGCCTAAACAATGTATGACCACAACAATTGATCATAGATTAAATTTTATAATGGCTATGAAATGCAATCTCGTAGATATCAAACATATTGTTTCTCAAATTCATTCTCAAGTTACATTCATTTCACCTCAAGTACTCGTGTTAGATAATCAAAAAATCAATTATAAACTATTTGGATAGGAAAGAAAAGAACCTTGCGAGCGAGATCAAATTGAGCCACGACTAACTCAGTAGCATTCAAAGTCTTGTCAATATTTTCATGCGCCCTTCGAATGGAATGTGTTCGAATCTGAGTAGGGCGCATAGCAGTTTCGAGGGAAGATAAGCGATGATCGAAAGAACCCAAAATAGAAACCATGTTATCTGTAATTGTTTGGCTTTTTGAAAGAGATTCTTTCATGAATTTCACCCTTTCTTCTAATGTTTCTTTTGACATTGGCAATGGTGCCCCCATTTTTTCCCTTGAAATTTTGTTTTGTTCCCAAAAATTTATGTTTGTTGGTTTTGAGAGGTGGCCGGTAAACTAGGAAACAATTTTTCTTCTACTTTTTTTTTTTTTTTTTTTAATTTCCTTTTAACTCTTTCAATTGCCTGAATTAAGGGGGTGATAATTGAGCAGGTTTGTCAAATTCATAATTTCATTAGAACTCGAGCAAGTTAATAGTTTTGTCGAGATCAGACTAAAATATAAACAAAAATGATAAATAGTTGGGAAAATTTTCAAATGGCTACAATAATATATTCGAGTATATTAATGAGGGACAATTTTGCGATGGCTACACAATTTTTGTAGTCATTACAATGTTTTTTTTTCTTCTTTTTTATCATAACCTTGTATTCTTTTAGTTTAAATCTAAACCATTCATTGAATTGACTAATTAATATTTAATTTCATATTATATATCCGAAAAAAATTGTTAATCTTTTTTCCCTTCTCGCTAGAAAGTCTCACCGTTTCATCTGCAAGTTCTCTCTAGAGCACGTCTCTTGGGAGGGTTTTTCTAGGGTTTCTAGGTTTTCCTTTGAGTGAAGGTTTCTTCTCGTTTTTTTCGAGAAGATTTATCGTTTTTTCATGGAGAATTCATCTAAAGAAATAGTAGCAGTAAATAATAGTGTTCTAGAAGAGATGGAAGCAGGCAAGGTGTTAGAATCCAACTCCTTTTGATGTATTAGATTCCATTTAAGTGCTTTCCTAGAGTTTAGGTTATGTTTTCTTAGCTTGAGGTCCCATTATTGTGTTACTGTCAGATCAGTGTTCACTAGGGATTCTCCTTGTATGTCATTTAAAGCTCTTTAGAGGGCGAATGATTAATGAAATCTTGAAGCCTTCTACCAAGTGTTGCCTTGCTTTTATGCTTGTTTGTTGTTAGACCTTTATAGATATTGTGTCTTACTTGCATATTAGCTCCCCTCCAACCCAACTTGATGCGCTAAGGACTTGTGGTTCGGACCCGCTTGTGCCCGCTTTGAAGTATCAGCCGTCACAAGCCCCGACCACCCGCACTCCGTCGCCCAGATAGACGTGAGTGCTCCTGAGATTTTATTGCCCGCTTGTGTTGCTTTGTGCTCACAAGCCCCTCTTCCGCTCAAGGCTAGCGTTCTTGCCGCCAAAAGGCTAGAGCGCGCCGCACGTTTCGGAGTCCAAACTCCCGGACCGTGACAGTTGGTATCAGAGCCGAGGCTCAAACCTCGTCGCAAGCAACCCGTGTAGGCACCAAGGAGGGCTACACGAAGATGGAATTCGTAGAAGAAAGGCTCGCTTGGCTCGAGGAGAAGGCGGACAAATGGGCCGAGCTCCAAGTCATTGTACACGAGCAAGCCGAGCAAATTGTGAAATTGATGGCTGACAGAGATGCCCTCCGCGAACAATTGCAATTTGTTTAAGGAAAAGCCGACGAAGCACTTGAGAAATGTGCTACCTTAACGCGCGCTGTGGGCAGAGACGCACTGGGTGTGGGTGCGGCGAAGATAAAGCCGCCCAAACCTCGCGACTACAGTGGCGCTAGAGATGCGAAAGAAGTTGATAACTTCCTCTTCGACATGGAGCAGTACTTCCGAATATGTCAACTAAGTGACGATCAGAAGGTGGATACTGCCATCATGTACTTGTCCGAAGATGCTAAGCTGTGGTGGCGCACCAAGCACGCAGACATCGAAGCAGGAAGGATCAAGATTGATACATGGGCGGAGTTCAAAGAGGAACTCAAAGAACAATTCTACCCCGTTAACACAGCGTTTGTTGCACGGATGAAGTTGCAAGAGTGCCGCCAGAAGGGTTCTCTTCGCAACTATGTTAAGGAATACTCGGCGATAATGTTGGACATCACAGACATGAATGAGAAAGATCGTGTGTTCAACTTTGTCAACGGGTTAAATGAATGGGCGCAGCGAGAGATTTTGAGGCAGAATATTGATACCCTCGATGCTGTTATGTGTGCTGCTGAGAGATTGATGGACTACTCAGTCGGGAAGGGTCGTCAATCTGAGAAGGATTCAAGTGGGACGTCAACACGCTCTAACAGTCCGTCTCCAAGCTCTCCAAAGGGTACAGAGAACGGCTCACGAGTATCGTCCAACACCATTAATACATATCATAGAAGAAGTGGAGGAGGTGATGCCCAGAGACAAACATCTACCCCCTCCCACAACTCAGGAAACTCGAGGGCCGGCGCATCCTCGGCAAACACAAGGGCAATAAACTACATACTTTGTCGAGGTCCACACAAATGGTGGGATTGCGAGCATAAAGAAGAACTTGACAAGATCCAAAAGAGATTGTCATCCATGTCCGTTCAGGAGGCCACAAAAGAGACTAGCAGCGATGAGGAGCCCACATATAGGATGGGTTCCATACGACGCCTGAGTGCTATGAGAATGATAGCACCTCAAGAAGAACCAGAAGTCCGATATCTTTCGGCAATGCGAGTGATGGAGCCTGAGAAGAAGGCAACATCGAAGAAACAAGCTCGCACCAGAAACCCGGAGAAGCGGGAGATGAAGCCCATGGAGTTGGCAACATCCCAGATACACACCCGCCAAAACCAGAATCAGTCACAAGGTTCGAAGCAAAGAGCGACGAGCCCAGAGACACCAAAGAGACACCAAAGAAGAACCTCCCAAGAGGGAGGAAAAACAGTGGTTGAGCAAACAACGCAGGGCGCGTGCAAGGGATTACAAAGAAAATGGTCACCCAAGAGGCACCGGCCACAACTTGAAGCTCTCCACCACAGTCTCAAGGAAGCAGCTCCCCAACAGATGATGGTGGAAGCAGTTGTCCCCCTTAATTCAACAGATTCCACTCCCAGGAGGAAATTTAGAGATGAAGCTCTCAACAAGATGTTCGAGCCGAGCGACTCCAGAGACAAGCTCCTCGTCAACAAAGAAGATCCAGCTCAAGAGTCAGATAAGATTCCAGAAGATAGCCGCACCAACGGCGCATCCGAAACTTGAGATAGTTTAGGGTTTTCTAATTTTGATTGTAACTTTTGTAAGTCGACGAGGTCGTCGACAGCTTAAGTAGGGGAGGATGTTAGAATCCAACTCCTTTTGATGTATTAGATTCCATTTAAGTGCTTTCCTAGAGTTTAGGTTATGTTTTCTTAGCTTGAGGTCCCATTATTGTGTTACTGTCAGATCAGTGTTCACTAGGGATTCTCCTTGTATGTCATTTAAAGCTCTTTAGAGGGCGAATGATTAATGAAATCTTGAAGCCTTCTACCAAGTGTTGCCTTGCTTTTATGCTTGTTTGTTGTTAGACCTTTATAGATATTGTGTCTTACTTGCATATTAGCTCCCCTCCAACCCAACTTGATGCGCTAAGGACTTGTGGTTCGGACCCGCTTGTGCCCGCTTTGAAGTATCAGTCGTCACAAGCCCCGACCACCCGCACTCCGTCGCCCAGATAGACGTGAGTGCTCCTGAGATTTTATTGCCCGCTTGTGTTGCTTTGTGCTCACAAGCCCCTCTTCCGCTCAAGGCTAGCGTTCTTGCCGCCAAAAGGCTAGAGCGCGCCGCACGTTTCGGGGTCCAAACTCCCGGACCGTGACACAAGGGCAACCAAAGTACGGATAGTGCTTTAGAGAAGAATGACAAAATTGACAAGCAGTTTGAAGAAGATGCAGTGGAATGGGATGTAGGAGAAGAGGAAGATGAGGATGCCAGGGTCGAATTGAGCCTTCTGGACTGATCGCTTTATTAATGTTAATGCCTTCATAAGTACCATTAAAAGTGTTTGGAACCCTAAACATGGCGATGATATTAGTAGTATTGGGAAAAACCTATTCATGTTTCAATTCTACCATTGGAAGGATAAGGGAAGGGTTTTTTAGGATCAACCATGGCACATTGACCGACATGCGTTAATTCTAGGAGAAGTTGGATGCAATGAGAAACCTTCTAATATTGAATTCTTTAATCTGCCAATATGGGTGAGAGTGTATAACTTACATTTCAAAGGCAGATTGAATGTGAATAATGTTGAAAAGTTGGGAAACAAAATTGGTACCTTTGTTAAAATGGATAGCATGGCTTCAATGGGGATTCACAAATCAATTCGGGTGAGAGTGTTAGTGGATGTTCGAAAGTCCCACCGAAGGGGTGTTAAACTAAAGATGAGGGATGGCGTGGAAGAGACTTTTGATGTAAAATATGAAAAACCCCCCATCTTTTGCTTTTTCTGCGGCATGATTGGTCATGGAGTAAAAGATCGTGATGAATGTAGAGACTCGGAGTCTGCTGTTCTTAGATATGGTATGTGGCTAAAAGCATCCCCGTCGAAAGTGAATAAAGCTTTTGAAGAAGTTAGGCATGGTAGTTCCTGTGCAAAGAAGCTTTTTGTTACTAAGCAAAAAGAAAGTGAAAAGAGGCAACTTGATCCGAGTGTGTAGCTGATGGCAAAAAAATTGAGTGAGATAGAGGTGACTGAACTTACTACCTCAACTGATATAGATGAAGGGAAGGTTGCTGAGAATGTCGAGCTGAATGCAGTGGAAGATATGATTGACAAAGGGGATGATAATAGGGCTAATATGATGAAGTTGGATAGTTGTGAGGGGAGTGTTGGAAATTAGAGAAGGGAGGGAGTAGTGTAAATGGGGAAGGGAAAGTGATTATTGGAGTAAAAAGGGTAGTGAAAGAGGAGGGGGTAATTGAAGGCAAGCTGATTGGATGTGAAGCTGGAGTTCTTGTGAAGAGGAGGGATATTAACCCGAGATTAGAAGACGTGGTGGGCCCCACACCATTGGCCCTCGGTGACTCATGAATTACATCCTCTCTTGGAACTGCAGAGGCTTGGGGAGTGCCTATGCAATGAATGCGTTTAAACGCATTGTAATAACTGAACATCCCCAACTGAGTTTCTTATCAGAGACTAGGCTGAAATCTTTTGAGATGGGTAGGGTGAAAGCAAAGCTGGGATTTGAA